ACACACACACACACATTTACACGCAGACACCACTACACCACTTCCACAACTACACATACATACACCAACACTCACAGTGTCCTCTCTGTCTCTTCTATACACATCAGTAGAACACATCTTTTTTTTTGTTTTTCACGGACACACCTTTGTGCTTTAAAAAGGGTAGAACCTCTAAAGAACGCAATAAGTATAGTCTAGTCCTGGAGAAACAACAATTTGGCAAAAAGGGGATTAATTTTTTAAAATTATTTTTGTTGGTAAATCTTTTACGTTGCTCGCAACTACATAACGTCATAATGAGCCCGCGGAACACATTAAACGTTTTCAGTTGGTAGGATATAGTTTTTATAAAATTTGTCGGGGCGAAGACCAAAGCCTACTCTTATCGAATTTGGACCACCAAGAGATCTTTGACGTGCGCAACTTGCACGTGGGACCTGAGAGATTTTTTCATAAACCGAGATGGCTATGTGTAGATCTTACCTACCATAATCAGGGCCAAGAGTGAAGCCGAACGACAGCAGTAAGAAAGAGCCAAGGAGCAGCAGTAGAAAGGCTGCAGAAAGAGTCAGGAGCCAGAGGAGGGGGCAAAGGGGTGAAGGGGCAGAAAGTGAAGACGGAAGCAGACGACAGAACGTTATTGAGAGCAGGAAATGATGTGAAAGGGGACATTGTTAGAGAAGAAAATAATATTATTCCGTCGCTATCCAAATTCGAACACTTGACCTATTGAATAAGAGGCGAACACCTTAACCTCTAGACTACAGGAACCCACGGAGTTATACATTATAACCACGGTCGCTTTTTCCTCGTACTATTGCACTTCTTTTAGATATTTGGGGACCATTATATCATCAGATGGTAGATGTCACACCGAAATTAAAAGCCGCATTTGCCAAGCAAAAGCAACCTTCCACAAGATGAAACAGATACTAACAAACATCAATCTGTCACTGGAAATGAAGAAAAGAGTAATTAAAAGCTACATCGAGCCAATCCTATTATACGGGTGCGAAGCATGGACAATCAATAAACAGTTGGAAAAAACAATTGTTGCGGCAGAGTTGTGGTTCATGCTACGTATCCCATGGACAGCTAGAAAAACAAATGAAGAAGTCCTGGCTGAATCAAATTATAGAAAACAACTTATCACGAATATAAGAAAACGACAGGCAAATTTTTTCGGACACACAATGCGGAAAGAAGCATTAGAGAACATTGTAACAACAGGAAAGTTTGATGGAAAGAGAGGTAGAGGCAGACAGAGGGAAAAGATACTGGACAAAATGACAACATGGCTAGGAGCAGCAAGAACAACAGACACCATTGCTGCTTCGAAAGACAGATGGAAGTGGAGGTCCATGATCGCCCACGCCAGTCGGCAAGGCACCGGATGATGATGATGATTGCACTTCTGAGAGTATCTTCTCGGTGTTTCTCTTTTAGGCGAGAGAGGCGTGTTCGGAGTTGGACAAAGTCATAGGTTTCCTATTTTCTTTTTCTTATCGCCGTCATAGCAGAGATTATATTCCAGTCTTGTAGATTTTTATGCTTTGTTTCAATTTCACATATTTCAAAAAGGAAACAAAAATATATAAAAGTCAGGTCTAAGACCTTAGATAGACGAGTCTGCATTTCTCAAACGAATCCTGTGTGTGGTTGGCGGGTGCTCTGGTGTGGTCTGCTCTTTCTTTCCTGTCAAACATATATTGTCCTTATTTCTACTCTTATTTTTTGTGTTGTTACTCTCTTGTAACACCTCTAATCTTTTGGAATAATATTATTATTTGACCTTATTGTGTTGCGTGTTTGTAAAACTCTTACTACAACTAAGATGATTACTCGAGGTTGTAAGTTTACTGTATTACTCGGTAAACCAAAGGCTTGTTGTATTTTTCGGTAATCTAGTGCTACCATTGTCATGAAAACTCTGGTAACGCTGCTTTCATATGTAAAACTGAACACTACTTTCTTTATAAAAATCATTATTTATTGAAGCAAATTTGCCAACATAAGCTCTACTTCATGTATTATTATGTCGGTACATTTCCCCTCTGGGTGGTTGGCGGGTGTTATGGTGTGAACAGCTCCTTCTTTCCTATCAATCATCTATCGCCCTTATCTCTCCTTCTTCTTTACCTTGTACGTTACTCTCAAGTAACACCTTTAATCTCACCAATAATTATGTAACCCAACTGTCTTGTTAGCGCCATAAAAGTCTAACTAAAGTTAAACTTAACTAAATTTCCCAACTGTTTTCAAAACACGAGGTACCTTAAGAACGATAATAATTAAATCGGAAGAAAAACGTGTCTATAGCGCTAGAGTAAGATCTTGGCCCACGA